ATATATATTAAAAGAATGGTTGTTGACTTTTGTCAAGTGTAAATATTCTCCTTTGTATAAAACCAGTTGTTTTCGTTTCTATTTCTCTTTTGCTTTCCTTTTGAAACATTCTCCATATGTTATCTAGGCTAGTCTTAAATTCATAGGCTCAAACTCTCCTTCTGCCTCAGCCTCATTAGCACCTGGAACTGCAGATGTGTGTCTCCGTGTCCAGCTGAGAACCATTTCTTGAATATATCAGTTATTGTCCTTATCTAAACATTAAATTTTTATTTTCTTTCAATGTCTTTCAAAGTATGTGAATATTATTTCTGAATTTTTCAAGTTAAATGTTTAGTGTATTTATAGATAATACTGATATTCAAGGTCATGGACTTAAGTGGGTAGTTTTGACTACATAAATTAAGCAGGTCTCTACCAGACGGTAGGAAAGAAAATATATTACATTACTGGTTCACTTGGTGCGGAGCTGATATTTTCAGACAAATAAGTAATGATCACAGCATGTAAAGTTGTTGAAAGTCATCCATGATGGACCAACAAAATGGCTCAGTGTGTAAAAGCATGGGCCTTGAAAGCATGACAATCTCATATCCCCCTCCACTAGTAAAGGTGGAAAGGAAGAACCGAGTCTACAAAGGTGTCTTTTGACCTCCAAACATGCACTGTGACAGGCTCATCCAAACTCACATTATAATAATACTTAAACAATTAAATTTTAAAAAGTTACCAATTCCTTATTCAAGGTTAGTCTTTAACGATTTGCTGTAGCTGTATATGATAGCTTATGTTCTTCTTGACAAAGGTAAAAGTTTCAAACATTTTAAATTGCTGTGAGGTGAAGGTTCTCAGTAATTAGTTGAATTTGTATGACAAAAGATTACAGGACACTTATAAAAGTAATTTATATGAGATAAAAAACAAAATATGAGATTATGAAATATAAATATGTAGAGGTGGGAATGGAGGCATTATATTAATAATTTTATATTTGATTCATGTGAACAAAAGATAAATAAATAATTTTCACACTAAGTTTCCTTCAAGTGATGATAACAAAAGTGGTTGGATATGGTAAACTTTATTATAGGGTTGTAGAATTCATACAACCAAACTTCCTTACAGCATTCAGCACCTGTACAGTTTTGTGGATTTCATAATACAGATATCAGTGAGAAAGAATCATTACATGAGTAAAATTCACTTTCTCATGAAATTTGTTCACATATAAGTCAGATTTGTTACACAGCACCTGATAGAAATGCAGAAATGTAATTTCTGTAATCAGAAAAGTTAAACAAAATGAAAAAGAAAACAAAAGAATGTTAAGAGGTTCGACATGCTTTACACAAAAACATCAAAAAATATTAAAGCATGCTCTATCAATACAATTTAGTCGAGAGCTTGCTTTAAATAAAAATGGAGGATGGAACTTATTGTCAGGATGTTAGCTGACATATTCATGCTGCTTTCAGAACTCTAAACCCTATAAATTCAAAAGAAAAAAGATAATCGTTTAATTCGTTGCAAACAGCAAGCAACGTCAATTAAACTCAAACTTGACAATAGCTTGCAGTGGTTAGTAGTTTTCTCCCCCCTTTCCTTTTCAGTATAAGCAATAGAGTAAATGTATGAGTATGTATCTTGAGTATCCCATAAACTTTAATGTCAAAGTCATATTACAAATCTGACTTCTGATTACCCAGGATACCCTTTATCCACCATCTTTCACTCCTGACAGATCTTGGTCTCAACAATAAATTCATTGGGGAAATGTCTAATCTTCCAGCACTTATCAATGGCACGCTTGTTGAAACCTATGAGGGAGGGCAAAAAAAAATGGCTTTTGAGATTTCTGTGTTCATTAAAAGCTCTTTACACATGCTTCTTTCCCTGCCCATCACCCTTACTCTCTTCAATTGACCCGATAATAATAAAGCACCTACCCAGCAAGAGGTCTCTACGTCGAAGGCGGAAGGATTTTCTGTTGTTGCAAAGTTGATAAATAAAGATGCCAAGGTTACTAACATCACGAATTTCCTCCACAGCAACCAGGTCTTCACGAACCACGTAAGTGTGAGGCAAGTATTTGCCACTCTAAAAATAAAAATAAAGACTGAAATGAGAAATTCTAAAGACATTATTTAAATTTCTACATATAACATATAATTTGTAAAAATAGACATTATTAAAAATAAACATTTTAGAACATTTTTATACACTTATTTTTATCATATATATGGATTTCAAGTACAATGTGCTTTTTGAACATGTGAACACAGCTACCTTTGAGCAGATCCAATATCCCTTTATTTACCCTCCCCCCCACTCACCCTTCTCAAGTTCCATTAATCGGTGTTCTATGTTCAGATCAACATTTCTACATATGACAAGGAGCATCATAAGGTACTTGTCTGTCTGAATGGCTTATTGGCTTAATATAAAATGCTCCAGTTATATCTATTTTGTCACAACATACAGTTTTTAATCAAAAAATATTTCTATGAAATGGAATGTTTGGCCCAACTCATTAACATTTTTAGAAAAAGGAAGAAAATTATTTGGAAATGCTTAGAGGAAAATTTAGTATTTAAAATACGTACTGCCAGTTTGCCAAAAAGCTCCACCAGATTCTTGGGAGTCATAACAATGGAGGTATTGAGGGGCATCAAGTAACAGTTTCCCAAAAGCAAGTCCAGGTAAGCAGTCATTCCCTGTTGGGGAGGTGAACAAACAGGTATTAATAGTTGATATTTTCTGAGACCATTAGACAAAGCAGGTACAACCATTTGAAGTTAGCTAATGTCTGCTCAATAAAAAAAGGCTGAAAATGTTTTGCTTCAAAAAGATGTTCAATTCAGAATGGATTTGCCACCTTTCAGTGAACCAGGAAAAAGAGAAAATTCTGGAACAGCTGTAAGAATGCGACAGTCACCTTCTCAAAGTCATGAATAATTGCTGCAGGATCACTATCGGAGAAACTGGGAACAGGCACATCAATGATGGCAATATTGTCATCCTCACGAATATCAGCCTCTTCAGTCACAGGCAGGAAGTATGGCTCTCCTCCATGAAGGGAATTCACAGGATCATCAGAATCAAAGAAGCACATCTCTCCATGGTAAATAGTGCTCTAAAAGACAAAAAAGTGATTAAAACTTTTGACTATTTAGTATTATGACACTTGAATTGTTTCTTGCACACATATCCATTCAGTCTGCTGTGCTAATCTCTGTCTTGTTTATCATAGTTATCATCACGAAACCTAATCAGTCTTAGGAACTGAAAAGTCATTTGAACTCTTTCCTCAAGTCTTTATTTCTTTCTGTAGTGGCCACAATATAATTATTTACGTTGTTATAAAATGTATAGCAATTAATAACGCTAAGTATTAGGAGTTATAATTATTACCTTGGGCATGAAGTACTTGTAAATGCATGCTCCGCCAACAATCAGTCCCGCCAAGATGAACGAAAGGCCTAAGAGAGTAAGCATACATCTCCCAGAGGAGTTGTCTTTTTCCTGTGTGGCAACTCTGAGCTCCTATTTATTAAAAAGCACAATGAAAAGCAAAGCCAGATGCATTCTTAGACAGTCATTTTTGTTTAAAATTTATTTCCCTTAAATCCCAAGATATTAAAAAAATACACTAATACTTTCTGGTATAAGACCATTTTAAGACAATTTCTGACATCTAATAGACATAAAATATCTCCACCTAAATTAGCCTTCCTTCTGGCATTTTCACGCTTAAATATAGATGTTATTTCTAAATAACTCAGTTCTGGAATAAAATAATCATTAATCATTTTTTATTTAAAACACCTACTTTTAACAAATGTTTAATTCATGCAACAGTGTTGTTAACTATAGGTATGATATAGCACAGCTGATCTCTAGAAATTATGCTCTTTAAATAAACGTAACTAGTCACTTTATGGCAATATTAAATACTAACATGATAGAATGTAGTTAAGCTTTTTGGCTATTTGCTTGTAAATCAATTTGTCAAATTAAGGAAGTTTAGTATCCTTCAATTTGTTGGCTAATTTTCTAAAAGCTACTTTATCAAGTTAAGAAAGAGATCTATAAAGTAGGCCAGTGATATATTTTTTAATGTTCCTAATTTTATGAAGAAATATGGAACTTCATAGGATTACACATTATTCTGTAGATTACATTAATAATATTTTCCAAGTACTTGTTAAACACTAGAACTGAACTTGGAGAACTTGATACACATAGATGTTGTCTGTGAAACAGTGATTTAAACATTCTGTTAACTCAATAATTTGCTTAGCAATTGTGATAACAAAGTTCCAAAGCAAAACATAACTGATTAACTGTACTCTTCATAAGGAGTGAAACTAGAGGGCCTACTATCTATAATTTACACATCCCTGATATACCCATAAGCTGCATTATTACTCAACGGTAGAATACATGAAGTCAGCAAATCTCAGCCCTGATAATCAGAGGGCAAATAAATCAGACTGGCATTAAAAGAACTATTATTTTAGTATGTCTGTAGTTAGGCTTTTTCATGAAACTGCTATAATATTTGTGACATTTAACTGATATTAAAATAATTTGAACAAAAATGCGTGAACTTGCATTTAATGTAGAAAAAGGAAGGTGTGAAATCATTTGATAATTTTGTTTTCAAAACAAAGAGCTTTATCTTCATAGATCAAATGTTGAGATTCACATTTTCTTAATAAATTTTCTTTTTGCATCAATTAATACTCAAAAAATGTTGAAATGTTTCTTCTGTCCTAATAATTTTCAGAAGCTTTTCGTAATTTTTACTAAAAATCTAAAATATTATTTTGCACTACAAAGAATGTACTTTAAATTTTGATTGGGAATCACTGTAACTTTGTGTTGGGGTCTTAGAAGTCATATTCTAGAAAATTAAATTTAGAGCAGAAAGGTGAAATGGTTTGCTAAAAGGCACGGAATAGCTTAAAGTTCTCTGAGGAATGAATTTTTTTTTTTTCTTGGTACCGAGACATGAGAAGAACAATTTGTACTGTAATTTCATTTCTCTTTCCAATAATTCATGAAGTTTATTATTAAGCATGGTTAAAGTATGAGGGTCTCCATTTCATAAGTAATCGCTACTTAGTAGGGATAATGGTTTTGTTTTTTATTTAACTTTGTTGGATTTCAATGTGATCGAGGGATTCAATTATGACAGCTAATTTCTCTCTCCTGTATTTTAGTTATTGGACATCACTTCTTAATATTACTCCCACCATATTCAATCTCTATTGATGGGGTGATCGATGTATCACAATGGAGTATGTCAAAGTCCTAATGTGGTCAGGTTAGGATTCTATTGCTTCTCTAAAACATAACAAAGAAATATAATCAAAGTGCAAATACTCATTTGTGTTTATTTTTCATCACACCACAGGCCTGGCAGAAGTATTACTTACATATTAACTGAAGCTTTCCACAAGTCAAGAAGTTTTTGGTGGTGAGGAGAAAAAAGGATTACTGTTTGGCTATATTTAACTACTGGCATCTAATTAGACACCCCCCTCCACCCCCCACCTCCCCACCACCCCACCCTTCAACCCCCGCCAAACTGGCCATGTTTCATTTACAAGTTAGTAGGAAGAAAACCACATATTTGACCTTCTGTCATTTCATTAAAACCTCAACAATGCAAGGGGGTGTTGCTTTTGAGTTACAAAATGTGTGATACACAAAAGCTAGTTTGATTGCCGAGTCAAATATTGAAAGTTTCCGTGATGAAAGTTCTGCAGAAGCACATTAGCATTTCAAATTGTGTGCATAATCAAGTTTTACTGCAAGGATTCAGATCTCACTCAAAGCACTTTTCAAATATCCACTCTGAACAGAAAAGTTAAAACTTTGTAAAGACAACAAGACAAGTTAGGACAGATTAAGCTCCAATGCTGCAGATGCCACAGAAGCAGAAGAGAATACGATCACCTTTTAAAATTGAGATATTACTGAGGAAAATGAGTAGTTTACCAGTGCTACAAAATGTGCTTGTTGATTAAAAGACATATACATTGGACTAATTAAACAACCGCGGGAGTTGGGGGGTGGGAAGTACTCCAGTTCCTGGAAAAGTAAGTTGTTTAAATTGCACCACTGAACATGTTTCATATGTGTATGTGGGAGAAGTGGGATATCGCTCAAAAACAAAATACCCAAAAGGAAAATCACAAAAGAGTATCCTAAAACTTATTTTTACAAGTGTTTTGTCAAAGAAATACCAGTCCAAAAGCATAGTGATCACTCAAAATGTGAATTAAAACCAGTATAGGCTTTGACAGCTCCTTTATCTAATGCTTAGCATTGCCTATAACCAGGGAGAAACTAAAAATAAACGCAAGAGTGTGTGCGGTGCAGAACCATGCTTGCCGATCACTACAGCTTGGATTTAAAGCTGAACTTTGCCTCCGTCGTACTTCCAGAAACAGCAATCCTAGAAAGACTTAGATTCATATAATTTCACTCAGGTGAAAAGGAAAGAACAATTTAAGTCTCTTGCCCTTGTTCACCCCCATGTGGCTTCTCAGTCCCTGTGGAGCTGGGATTGAGCTGCATGCCCCTCGTTAATTCCATAGCCCATTTCCCAGGACATAATACCAGGAAATCTCAAACTCCAACTACCTCCTGGGTTAATGGATGGAATTACAAGGATGCAGAGAGGAATGGGGTGAAGCACGGTAAAAGGTGGCCAAAGCAACTCTGCAAAACCGACGTACAGTGTGCAGCGAGGCCTGCCAGGGTCCCGGGGACTGCAGGGTTTTGTCCTCTGCGTCTGCGTTTTTCCCTTTTTCGCTCCCCTTCCAAACTCTAGTAGGCGGACAGAGGCCGAGTGGAAACTACCTTGCCAGTCAGGATCTGAGCTCGGACAGTGCGGCTCACAAGTGCCTCCACATCTTGCCGTGCCTCCTCCTTTTGCACCGCAGTCGGGGTGTTGAAGGCGATCTTCACCATGGTGAATCTTCGGGCTGCGCGGTAAGGCGCGGCTCGAATCAGCGTCCTGGGCTGCAGGTTGGAAGACTAGGGGATTGTGCTTGCCGAAGCAGCACCTACTTTCTCCCTGCTTGCCTGAAGCTGCTGCAAGCCCAGGTCTGGGGATACTTATGACGCAGTCCCAAGTCCAGTAGGAGACCGTGGGCGGGGCCGGGGAGGTGCCTAGGGAGGAGCGGCAGGGGGCCCAGAACGCTGGAGTGGAGGGGGTTGAGGGGGGGGGGGGGCTGCCAGTCGGGAAGAGGTGGAACTGGAGCCGGTGGGCAACTCAGGCTGGACGTGCCTCACCTGCACCCCAGGCATGGTCCTGCTGCCTTCTGCGCCCTCAGATAAGAGCAAGGCAGGAAGGAAGCCTGTCTGTCGTGTCTTTCTGCTTCTATCCAGACCACAATAGCCCCTGAAATTGACTTTGTTTTCCCAAACTTGGGCCTGGCCCCCTGCTGGGCCCAAGACTGTAACTTGGCACCAGCCCAAGTTTTCTGAGCTCTGCAACCCACCCAGCCCAGTAAGCACAGTTATCTGACTGTTCTGCACCTTTATAATATCTTCCATTATAAAAAAACACATAGAAGTTAGTTTATAGGTTCTTGCTTTGTCCTCTCAAGATTTTTCTTCCAAGCCTTTTGTTTTCTTTTATAATTTTAATTTTCCAACCTAAAATAATGTTAGATGAGGAAGACAGGACTTTTGTCTCCCTAATTCCCCATTTTGCAGACAGGACATGATGAGATAGAGAGGAGGGAAGTTGGAAAGCTCATTCCTAATAAATCAGTGAAATAATCCAGATCTTTTTATTCTGTGTGATAGGGAAAACCAGAGTAAAGCCTCAGTCCAGTCCAAGACCCGTTTCTATTCAGCCACCAACTGTGCAACCAGCAGGGAAAAAGCAGGGGTGTGTGTACCTATGTGTATAGGGAGGTAGGGAAAACACAAAATTTAGCCAGATGTTCACTACAACTCTATTGGAAAGAAAGAAATAAACTCAGAGGGGCTGAGCTAAAAAATCATTATCACAACATTTACATGGACAGCTATTATAATTGCTTCAGTCACCTCTCTTAGACTAGTGACAATGACAGAGAACTTCAGTGAAATTCAAGTTGCAGTTTGGTTAATGAAAGTTAGTGGTACAGAGTTTATAAATAGTCTGCTACAGAAGACAGAATAGGGGTCTGTTTTCTGAAGGAAGTAATGTAAAACAAAGCCTCAACAAAACAACAAAACAAAGTTTTTACTAGCCAATTCCCCATTTGCTCATCTAATTAAACTGAACAGACTTGAATATGCTGAGTTGCTACCCTTCTGTCCAAGAAATTCTAACTTGGAATTTTTCCCATGGAGATTGTTCTGCCTCTGAAGCCCTTTCCTGTCTTGACTGTGGGGACTTTGCAAAAACAGCTTTCCTATCCTCTGATAGGTCACAGATGGGAAGGTGGATGGAGGGGAACAGTGAGGAGACTGTGCCTTACATAAGGTCCAGACCTTACAAAGCAGGATGTTTGAGTTTACTTAGAAACACTGGCATCTTATGCTCTTTTACTTCTTAAGTCTAGCTATTATAATTCAACATTTGTCAGTCAGCCCTCAGTTTAGGCAAAGGAAATCTCGATTTTCCCTGTATGTTTCTCTTTACAGTCACTTTCTGTTTATAATCACCCTTATGACACTTTAGTTAGGATCTGTGCTACCCTGGCCCTGTGAACCACATCACATGCATAACTGAACAAATACTTGTTCTTAAACATTTATCTATCAAGTCCAAACTACTGGATCAGATAGCAATGTGCTATTTTGGTATTATCTTGCCTGAAATGTGGTAAGACAGGAGGAGCAAGAATTCTTTTCATCTTTTTCAGGAGAATATAGTCAAACTCTGATAGCTACCAAGGGGAGTCTATGATTACTTGCCGGGTATGTACCATTGAGCAATCCACCTCATCTCCTCAAGCTTCATTTTCCTCCCTTGTATTGTACTGAAGTGGATATCATGTATGAGAATGCAGGAGAAAATATCTTTTGCTTATTTAGAAACTTTTTTTCTTTTGTCTTTTTGAGACAGGGTCTCCTTGTAGCCCCAGCTGACCTGGAACTCACAGAGACCTGCCTGCCTCTGCCTCTTGAGTGCTGGGATTAAAAGCATAAGGCCCCATGCCTGGCTTAAAACTTTTACCAATCAGTCAGCTTCTAGGACTCTTAAGATGCTTCAGTATCTGGATATAGGTCTTCCTGGACAAGATTAAACCTCTAAGAATGGTCACATTCATTGGCATCTAACTTCTTTTGAATTATATGGCCACCATCTCTTATTTGGTGCTACTGCTACCACGTTTCCTTTTCAGAATGCCACCCACACCTTCCTAATATCTTTGCTGCTGTTGGACATGTATGATACTGACATGGTATCAATTTGTAACATACCAAAAGTACCTCCTTCCTCCCTCTCATTTATCTGTCTCTCTCTCTCTCTCTCTCTCTATATATATATGTACATAATATACACACATATTTGTGCATGTGTTTCGGGGGGGGCTTGTATGTGTGTACATTTTAGAATCATATATTAACAATAACATTCAATGCTAATACCCATTTATCCATTTCAGGGAATAGTTCCTGTATGTTATTTTTTATTTCACAATATGTGCTGCTATTAACTCATCTAGTTGAAACACCAGTGCACGCATTTCCATCCACAAAAGCAGTTCACATTTAATTGTGTCCTTCGCAGAAGCAACTTCTTGTTTCTTAGCATCAATTTCTCTAAATTCCTTGTCTTTGGAAACCATAAACGGTATGAATATCATGCTGATTCCAGCTCACATTGTTAATCATGTCTGAATGCACATTATTCAAGTGTATAAATGACCTCCTTGTTCTCACATGCCAGATGATGACTAAATTGACACAACTTGAGCTGAATGAAACATGGCATGCAATTGGATGTCAAGTAACAATGTCACCTCTCTTTGAACCGTCTTCTGAAATCACTACGAATTCAGCCCACGATGCTGAAATGATCAAACACATCTGTGAGATTATTTTCCTTATTAGCTCGTTTCTTAACTTATCAAATATTAACTGAGGATGTAGTACAAACCTTATTTTCTGATAACCATGGGAATACAATAATGAGCAAAATAACCATATGTTTCTCTTGTAAAGTACATTATCACTACATGGATGGCAGAGCAAGGCAAAGAAACTTTATAATCCATAAAGGAATATATAGCAAGTGACAAACCAGCAGAGTAATTCTTCCTACAGCCAATGCTACTATGAATGTATTCATCCTTACCTTACTTACAACGGCTTTAAATCCAGGAGTTTTGGAAAATTAATTTAACAGAGCTTGTACTAGGAAATCACGTATCATATATTCTGGGTGAGAGTTGATGAACTAGAGTGATGACTGATATACCGAAAATAAGGCACACAACATATAAAAAAATTTGCAAGCCATACTTTAAAAGGCATAGTGCAGGGGCTGGAGAGATGGCTCAGCGGTTAAGAACACTCACTGACTGTTCTTGCAGAAGACCTGGCTGCAAATCTCAGAACCCACATGGCAGCTAACAACTGTCCATAACTCCAGTCCCAAGGGATCCAACAGCCTCTTCTGTCCTCCGCGGGTATTGCATGACACGGGTGCACTTACCTACATGCAGGCAATACATGCATATACATAAAATAAAAATAATAAATAAAATTTTAAGAAAAGACGTAGTGTAAGAACAAGTCATATGAAGGTGAAAATGTAAGAAAAATTATTTTGCTTTTGAATGATTGGGGTTCACAGTGTGGACCAACGGTGACACCCTTGATAATAATAGTAAACATTTATTGACCACACTAAAAATTGAGATTTCTCTGCTAAGGTCTTTATTCTTGTTACGTACTCTTTTTTTGTGGAAGAAACATTTATTTTAGTTCATATTTTCAGAAGTTTTCATCTGTGGTTGGCGAGCTGTGATGGAACAGAGGTGCTTGCTTGCCTCATGATGGCTTGAAAGCAGAGTGAAAGATGCGCCTAGGGCCAGATATAGAACCAAGGACATGTGTCTACTGCCCTACTTCATTTATCTAGGGCCCACCTTCCAAAGTGTCCAACACCTCTCCCAAAGGCCATCAATTTATGAATTTATGCATGGATCAACGCTTTGATTAGGTCAGAGGCCTTATGATCTAATTACCTCTCAACGATTAGATTCACTAGCTGGAGACCCAGTTGGCAACTTGTGAGCTGTTTGAGGGGGAACATGAAATCCTATCTCATTGATAAAGAAACTGAAAATTTTGAGCGGTAGAAAACTTGCTTAAGGTAAATTCTAACTCAGGTGATCTGATTCCAATTTTTATACTACTAATAACTATATTTGTTGTTGCCAGTAAAAGAAATGGAAATATCAAGAAAAGAGGTAGTTTGAAAGTGAAGAAAGCAGTCAGTATATGTGTTAGTGTACCAAAGGACAAATTCCCTGATCATATTGCAAGCATGGATTCCTGCTTAAGATTTTCCTCAGGGCTAACTACATTTGGAGATCAATAAAAAATATGCTGGCCTACACATGACTATAGGCTACTCATGTTAAAGCGAGTTGATTCTACATTCTGCAGTTGCTCCTGTCAACAGAGAAGCAGCTAAAGGCAAAGCTGGCTAGCCATCTATTTCTGGGTATAATTCCAGGAGCTCAGTTTAGCTCTTTGAGGAGCCAAGCTATTTTCTAGATCCACTCTTTCCTTTCATGTGTAGCTAAATCTTATGAACAGAGCTGGGACCTCCTTACTCAGATAATAGAGGAAACTTGTTTTCATAAATAGATTCTTATTTTTCCACTCCATTTATGGTTTTCTCTTAGGGGGTAGAATCAAGAGGATCTAGAGTTCAAGGTCAGTTTCTGCTACATAGCAAGTTGAGGGCAGCCTGGGATACTTCAGACCCTGTTTCAAACAAAAGAGGGAGAGATCACCACATTTCCATAAATAAGAGAATTGGTTCCATCACCCTTTCAGATTGGAGTGATCTTTGAATTTAAGAGGGAATTTGAGCCCTAATTAATTCATAAAAATTACATTTCATTTTTCTAAATTTGTGAGAATGAAAACCCAAGTGAAAATGTTTGCCCAATGCCCCTTGGCTAAGTTGTGTAAGAATTCTTAACTCATTACAGACCCTTTGGCAAACTTTTGAAACAC